GATGCGGGGCTCGATCCCAGGACCCTGGGACCATGACCTGAGCCGAAGGCAGGCGCTTAACGACTGAGCCACCCAGGCGCCCCTGCAGCCCACATCTTAACCCCAGACTATACCATCTACAATCCCCAAAGCAACATCTTTTGCTTTTGTATTAAAAAAGAATAGTCATGGGGCACCTGGGTGGCTCAGTCGGTTAAGCGTCTGCCTTCGGCTCAGGTCATGATCCCAGGGTCCTGGGATCGAGCCCCACGTCCGCTCCCTGCTGGGCGGGGAGTATGCTTCTCCCTCTGCCCTGCCACTCCCCCGGCTTGTGAGCACTCTCTCTCTCTCTCTCTGTGGAATAAATCAATAAAAGTTTTAAAATAAATAAATAAAAAAGAATAGTCATAATAAAAATAGGGGATTTATTTAAAATTTATACTCTTGGGGGGTGGGAAGTATACTCTTGGACCTCAAGGTGAGAAGTAGTTTTCTAGAGAGAGGCAAGTCTTTCATTCATCAGCTCTGAGTTTAGCGTTTGCTCTGTTCTAGGCACTGTTCTCGGCCTTGGGGATTCAAGCACATTACTGTCAAAAGCACCCCCACTGCCATGGAGCTTATCATCTAATGGGGAAGACAGATAATAAGCAAATAGACAAATGTCTTTCTGTCCGATCATGAAAGATGCTAGGAAGAAACCTGCCCAGGACAAGAGGATAAGGTATGGCAGGAGCTGCTCCCTGAGTGAATATCGGGCTTAATGTCACAGGAGTGATGGTCCTCCTCCATAAAATTGTCAGGACCCTTACGATAAAGGGTTGCTATATAAAATGCAACAGAGATGTGAAATTAAGAACATACTAATACATGCCAATGCCTTGGTAGAGAAGCATATCTTACTTTCCATCACAGTGCCTAGCACAGAGTGGGCATTCGATAAATAAATTGGATGAAGGGCTTGCTAAGTGGTCTGCAGAATGCCCAGCCTCCAACCAGATGATAAATTCCCCCTTCTAAGATAAGGAATGGTAACCAGTTCATGTCTGATTCAAAACTGCCCACTTGTGCTTGGTCCCTGACCCTTGAGCAGAGAGCCATGAACAGCTGAGGGGGGCAGGGGTAACCCAGCACCACCTCAAAGAGAAAGGTCAGTTCCATTTGATGTCTTTGTTGTATCCTCAGCGGCTCCTCGAACAAACCGAGCTCACCAAACTACTCAAAGCCATTTGCCCTTCTAAACCTCAGCTCTTCTGTCAGAATCTCTGTCCCCTCCCGCTGTCCGTAAGTCAACAGAAGGGCAGGAATTGGGTATGATGACCGAGGTGGGGTCCAAACCTCCTTGCTGTTCCTTCCCTGTCCACGGTGTCTGTCTGAGGATACCACCTGCTTCTGGGTCCTTCACCCACGGCAGGCCTCCGCTGTAGCTTGCTGAGAAGGGGCCCTTGCAGGGGACGAGGACGATTCAGCCTGAGGCTGTCACAGGCCTCCCTGTCAGAGTCCTGCTCTCGTACCTGGAAAGGGCGCTCCCTTGTCCTTATCCGGGAGGCAAACTGAGGTTCACGAGTTTTTGCTTGGCCTTTTTTTTTTTTTTCTCCCTATTAATGGAACCTGCTATCCTGCCATGCTCCCATGAATCTCTTGGGGCTGCCCCAATTTCTTCCCCAGCAACCTACCTGAACTGTGGGCTTCCTCCCGTTCTGGAACTCTCTGCAGCCTCGTGGTGTTCCTGGCTCTGGAGCCTCCACTCCACCAAGCTTCTGTCTTCACTGTCAGCCCTGGCTCCCATCCAGCCCCTTGTGTCACTACCCACGCCCGAGTCCCAGCTGCCTTCCCAGGAAAGGAAGCACGACGCTGGTCATTGTTAGCTTGGTTACACCTGGCAACCCCAAGGGCTGTTGACATCACACCTACATAAACAGTGTGACTGTCCCTAGACCAAAGCAAGACCTGCTCACATACCTTCACAGAGGCGAGGTGGCACTCGTTTTGCTCACTCCTAAACCATTCTAATGAAATGACAAGGCTGAAAAGAAACGAAGCATTTCTTACCAAGCTGAGCTGAGCGTATGGGGCAATCTCGGCCAAATTCCCATCACCAGGGAAGCCAGGGAGTCAGAGTTACCAGGACTGACTGATCATGCACGCAACCATTCAGCAAACTGTCTTGAGTGCCCGCTCTGTTCTGGGCTCCAGGAAGAAAGCAGTTAAAGACGCGACTCGCAGGAAAGAAAGGAACCAGAAAAGAAGGAACCATTGGCCCGTCAGGTAGTGGTAAGTACTGAGGAGAAACAAAGAGGCTAGAACTTCTCAATATTTTATATTTTGGGGAGCACTGAGGGCAGCACCTGACATGTAGCAGGAGTTTAACATCTGTCGAATGAACAAATACCTTGCAATGAATGTTTTTAAGTTCTGAGATATTTCCCTTGTTCTCAGCTGCTCCTTGCTCTTTTTAAAATTTTTTTTTTAAGATTTTTTTTTTTTTTATTTGAGAGAGAATGAGAGAGAGAGAGAGCATGAGAGGGGGGAGGGTCAGAGGGAGAAGCAGACTCCCCGCCGAGCGGGGAGCCCGATGCGGGACTCGATCCCAGGTCCTGAGATTGAGCCTTGCATCGGGCTCCCTGCTCAGCGGGAAGCCTGCTTCTCCCTCTCCCACTCCCCCTGCTTGTGTTCCCTCTCTTGCTTTGTCTTTCTCTGTCAAATAAATAAAATCTTTAAAAAATAATAAAAAAATTAAAAAAAAATTTTTAAAGGCCCAAAAGGACACATTTTATACACTCACTGCTAGATCTTTCTTATTTAAGGTGTAAATAAAGCACATATACTAATGCCACAAAGTAGTGTCATATTTAGATAAGTGTTTTTCAATACAGTTGCTTTCCTTTGTAATTCTGTTATTTTTTTTTAAAGAGTTTTACCTATTTGAGAGAGCGCATGCAGTGGGGTGGGGAGGGGCAGAGAAAGAGGGAGAGAGAATCCCAAGCAGACTCCCTGCTGAGCACGGAGCCCAGTGCTGGGCTCAATCCCAGGACCCTGATCATGACCTGAGCCGAAACCAAGAGTGGGACACTTAACCGACTAAGCCGCCCAGGAGGGCCCTCTGTTATTTAATTTTATGCATTTAAAAGCGTTATTCTGAGAAGGGGTCCAGAGGTTTCCCCAGCCTATTAAGGCATCTATGGCACAAAAAGATTAAGAAAACCCCTGCCACAGACAGACCCGTTCTAGATCCACTGGCACAATACAATAACGACCTTCAACAATAACAATGAAACAGCGATAAAAGGTTTGATAAGGCTTAACAAGCTCTGTAAAACAAAGCAGGAAAATGTGTGTGTATGTTAGAGCACGTTTTAAAAAGAAATCCAAGGGCGCCTGGATGGCTCAGTTGGTTAAGCGACTGCCTTCGGCTCAGGTTATGATCCCGGAGTCCCGGATCCTGCATCGGGCTCCCTGCTCAGCAGGGGGTCTGCTTCTCCCTCTGACCCTCCCCCCTCTCATGTCCTCTCTCTCTCTCTCATTCTATCTCTCAAATAAATAAAATCTTAAAAAAAATAAAAAGAAATCTAAGACAAATTTTGGTGCTCAAAGGTTAAAGTTTCCCCAACTACTTAAAATAAGTGAGACCTTATAAAATGCTCCATAACCCCTGAAACTCTTCTCGCCCCCTTCACAGCTTCGCTGGTTCCTGACATTGACAACACTGGCCTGGAGAGAACTAGAGTCCGCTGTGCGTGCCCTTCACAGCTTATTGGAATCTCCAAAGACCACACAAGGAGGCGGAATCAGGGCACACACAGCAGGCTAAGGATGGCCAAACCCAATAAGCATAAAAGGAGGTAAACTACCAGAAGAAATCACAAATGTGAAGTTTTCTTACTGTTTTAATAATTTGAGTAATAAAGATTTATGGCATTTTCATACTATTTAAAGACAGCAATGCTATGACTATTTCCAGAATCCCAGCTTCAATAAGAAGTAAATAAACAAATAAATAAATAATAAAATAATACATATGTTAGAGTTGGTATATTCCAAATACCCTCCCCTATTTTCAGGATGCTTTTCAATATTACCTTTGTTTATACTTCAAGGAAAGTTCCTTCCAGTAAGCAGTTTCCTCCTTTAAACTCGAAAAATCTGGTATATCTTCACCATCCATGATCAAGAAAGCCTGTGAAATATTAAAGACAAATTTTTAAGTTAAATAGAGAACAGGGGCACCTGGCTGTCTCAGTCCGCGGCAAGTGTAACTCTTAACCTTGGGGTTGTGAGTTCAAGCCCCACACTGGGCGGAGAGCTTACAATCAATCAATCAACCAATGACAGCTATTAAAAATGAAATATACCATATGAAATTTAAAAATTTAAAAAACAAATAGAGAACACAGAAATCTAAATGAAAGTACAAAATCTGGGATATTAAATCAGCATTCTGGAGGGAGTTAAAGATGACCGGTTCTGAGAATGAATAACTGGACACACAAATCACTTTACTGCCCCAACCTCAGGGCCCACCTGTACCGTGGATGACGTCAGGACAGGAGAACCCCAAAGTGCTCGGGTATAAAGGCACATGAGGTACTTTGGATGGAGGCACCAGGTTCCAAGTGAACTGGCCCCAGCAGCTGGGTTACAGCCAGCTGGTCTTCTGGGAATCTGGTGACAGAAACAAGTTTATTGTTCGAGCTGATACTCCTACTGCATGTCCTTCCCTGCTGTACAATTGCTTCAAAAGACCTATCAGAAACATTTCATGCCAGGTGACCACACTAGCAAATCAGGTACCACATTCTGAATAATTTACGATTATTACATTTGTGAAAACTTCATTATCTTAAGTCCAAAGCTTCCTCCGTAAATTCACTAATCCCCAACGTCAATGTCCTCTCATCTTGGTTGCTCTCCCAAAGCACTGGGGGCGGGGTGTGGGGGCGGATTGGAATATCTATGACCTCACATTTGGACTGACCACCTAAAAACCCCAATTGGCTGGCCAGAAAATGAAATACCAAGGACACGGGGCTCACTCTACATTCATACCTAGAGCAAAACGTCTGCCTTTCCTCCGTTGTACAACCCCCTCCTGAAGCATCCCACTTTATATCCCAGCAATACTGTTCAGAATTGTCTTAACACGACATTCTGTTTCAGGTCTGGATGTTTCCTCTACCCGGAGTGGCTCTCCCTTCCTTGTGCATTTGGAAAGCTCCTACTTGTCCTTTAAAACCTAGCTGTCATCTTTTCCAGAAAGCCTTTCCTGCCCTAACCCAGACAGCACCGAAATCTCCTACACTCTTGCCTATCATTATACCCCACACTTGCTTTCCTGAAAAGACTTACCACACAGCAATGCATTTGCTTGAACTTGTGTTCCCGTTAGGCTGTGTATTATTCTTATTCCAACCCAGCACAGTGTCTGCACAACAGCGGATACTCAATAGTATTAGCTAAACTAAACCAAAACTGAATCAACCTAATCCATACCGGGCAGCAAGAACAAAAGACCAGCTTTAAAAGTAAATTAATAGAAATGCAGAGTTCACACAGCACAATCCACTCATAAAGGCTGAGCAAGAAGTCACAGACCGGAAACTCCTGCTTCAGGGTGAGTACGCCAAAGAAGTACGAGAGTGATTTCTCGCTGCATAATACTAAAGTATAACTTGATACACTTAGTTTGAAGCTGACTGCCGTGTTCTGTTTCAGCCGAGTCTTTCCTGACCACACCACCTTCTCTGACTTTTGGCATGTTAGTCAATCTTCCAATTATCTGCAATTACCAATCAGCCTATGAGTTCTTTGAAAAGAGGTGGAATCTTGACATGCTTTGCATCCCCCTTCATGGCACCAAGCTAACACTTGGCTCAGAGAAAGTATTAATGCTCTTGAGCATTTACTGAGCAACTGCTGCGTGTCAGACACTGTTAAGTATTGGACGAGTACTTACTGCCTCAGGCAGGCCCCCCTCTAATGCCATCAGCCCTCCATTGGCACACTCCTGGCTGTATCACTCTACTCTTGGACATGCCCTCAGGGCCCACAGCACATGAAAATGTAAACTTCATGGAGGGTGGAGTCCTGCCCAGACTGGGCTCTAGGGTTCCGATTCTGCCATTCAACTCCTTAGGCCATCTGCTTAACCTCTCAAGGTCTCCGTTTTCTCATCTAATGAGAGTCTGGACCCGATGACAGGTTTCTTCAAGTCTGTGTACTGACTACTAAATATTCCGGATCAATCTTACAATCCTATCCCTTCATCAAAGTTCCCAATTCCCATTCCATTTCCCCAGCTGTAGGGGTCATCTTACTTATAGCTACAATGTGTAGGAAGGTGTCAGTGAGGATGAGGCTGGTCCAGCAGAAGTATTTGTATTTCAGAAGATTATCCAAAACCGTTGAAGGCATCACCATGTGGTTTCAATAACTCTTGAGAGTTCCTGCCTCAGTCTCCTTGAGGGAAGGGGCAGATTTCATATTAACAATCCAGATGAAGATTTAATTACAGCACAGAGGCATCTCAAGGTGAGGCAAGCATCACTATGTCCCTTGAATGCTCTCCATAAGGTCTTTCTCAAAAACGCCAAAAAAAATAAAATAAAATGTTGGTTACATCTGAAGTCTATGAATCCAGCCCTAAAGAAGCTCATGGGCACGGGTCCTCAAATCTGGATAGAGGCACTCATTGTTTCAATACTGGCAACCACATATCAACGAGCAGCTCAAATACTCAGTTTCTGATACACAATCCAGTAAATTAGGGTTTTACAAAATGTTATGAAGATCACAGGGACACAAGAAGCAAAGTTTGCTGCTACTTACTCTAGCTCAAATAAGAAATATTTATAGAAAAATAAAAGGCTAAGTCTCTCCAGCTAGTTCCTTGAAGGCAGGACCAGTGTCTTCTTTATAAATCCCTCTGCATCACCAGAAACACGGAACACGGTAGAAATTCAACAAATGTTTGAAATGACTTATGACCTTTCTCTCATTATTCCCTCTTTACTTTCCAAAGTACTGCTTTCCTTTATTAAGATCTAAATTCCTATTTCAGGAATGGCGTAAGCAAAAAAAGTTGTGGGTAGTTTATTTCTACCTCACAGTGCACCACCATGTATTAAATCAGGATTATAAAACCTATCATTCTCGGCTAGACAAAATTACCAGTCTTGACGCACGCCAAGCCCCATTCACAGTCACTTAAAAAGCTCGATACAGGCTCCACCCCAAAGAATAGGGAGCGGAAGGGACTCACTGGGGAGAGCCTTGGAGACCCCACCACACACTTGCTACCTAAAATAATCACTGTCCAGCCCTTCGGTCTTAAATATAATTGGACAACCAAGAACCACCAGACAAATGAGAAAACCCAGGAGCATGAATAAGAAAATCCTAGCACCTATCCAACTGAGAGGAAACAGGTAATTCAGACAAACGAGAGAATTTTTTTCCTCCTGCAAAAACTCAGGAGGGTGACCTCCCACACGCTTCCTGAGACAGTTACAGAAGGCAGAGACAACCAAAACAGGGCAGCACGGGATGCAAGAAACAGTGGCTCCAACTTAGGACTGCAAGGAAGAGAAGTCCCCACCCTCAGCCAGATGGATGGCTCCAGGGAAAACGAGGAGTCCCATTTAACAGTCTGGAAAGCTGGATACATGAGGCTGTGATGAAAGCACATCGCTCTTGTGTCAATAAGAAAAAAAAAACAAGTGGGGCCACCTGGCTGCCTCAGTCAGGGGAGCGTGTGACTCTTGATCTCGGGGTCGTGAGTTCAAGCCCCATGTTGGGGGTAGAGATTACTTAAAAATAAAATCTTGAAAAACAGCAAGTGAAAACTCCAAAGAAATGAAAACACAGTATAAGAAGGTCCTGACCCTCACATACAACATTTTTAAATTAAATATCTCAAATCTAAAATTCTTATTTTGCTGATTTTATATTACTTTATGCATTTGAGACAAGTTCCATATTTTATAGCCATCAGTGATTCTCCTATTTTTGGCCTTAAATTTGCCATAACTTTAGTGCGCTGCTCCTCTGTAAGGTTCTAGGATTTGGTGCACAGGTTTGTATTATTTTTTAAGCCTTTCTAAAAATTTTGTACTTTGATGATAATACTTCTCAGCCTTGGTCTTCTCAAAGTGAATATTTCTTGTCTTTGTAGCTTACAGTCACCTGGCAGCCATCTTGGTCCCTTAACTATGTCACCGTCATGCTTTGGACCTTCTCTAGATTACATATATGCCTTTCTGGAATTGGGTGACTTGTACCTCTTCAGTATAGCAACATTTGATTCACGGGGAGGATACTTTAAAGTTTTCAGCACTCTTCCTGTTACTAGGCAGCAACTGCTAGTGGTGGATTGTGTGGTCCACAGGCCAGAATCCTTACGGAAGTTCATAATGACTATTAGATGCTATCCTTGCATCTAACATTTGTTTGAATGTATTTTAACGCGGAGCCAATCTTTCTACAAACTCCATTTGTAGAAGGATTGGCTCCACAGTTTTTAATCTAAAAATGTTATCATTCACATGCCCAATGTGAAACTTTCCTGGGTGAGGCTGCTCTGTTGACTTTGGCCCTTTATTCAGTATCAGAAGACTTATAAAGTAGTTATGACATTGAAGAGCACTTAGCTAAGTAGTATTCCCTAAGAATCTATCTGTTTACACTTCTGGGTATACTATAAAGTATCCATTTATCCTTGATTTTTGTTGCCTAAATAGGGTCATATTCTTAACACAATCACCAGTGTTTCCATCAGTATTCCCTGATGACTCGGGTTATAAATAGACTTTCCTGCAAAACCTTTTCAATATCTAGCTCTATCTCTTGTGTCCTCCCTATCCAACTACTTAGTTCAGTGCCAAATAACGCTGGCAAAATTACTTTAATATGTGTTTTTATTTCACATGTGCATCTCCTATTTTCTTGCTGAATCTTATGCGAACTGAATGTTGACTCCAATTTTTCCAATTAACAGGCTACTTTTATTGGCCCCTCAAACAGTATAATCTACAACTGAAACCTTTTACTAAAATGACCATCATCTTTTCCAGAAGAAACCAATTAAAAACATTTAACCTGGGAACAAGGGGTAGAAGCAACACGGCATAGTAGTGGAGAGCTCAGACCCTGGGGCCAGACTCCTCTCTATTCACTAGCCCGATGACCTTGGGCAAGTTACTCAACCTCTCTGTGCCTCCCCCTTCCTCACCTGCACAATGAGGATAAAAATTAAAATAGGGCTGTTATGAAGATTAGGGGAATTAATATTTGTAAAGTACTTAGTACAGAGCCTGGCACATAGTAAATGCTGCATAAATTTTATTAAATTGTGAAAAAAAAATATTAGTTCAGTAGAGAACCTCTGAAGTATGACCACAAAATAAATGTGCTTCAGAATTTATAACATACAAATGATTCCTTAATCTCTTCCAGAAGCACAGTCCAGTGATACCACCATTCCTGAAAACATTTTTTAAAACCTCTTTTGGAATAGCCTTGAAGAGCCAGATTAAAAACTAAAAAAAAGTTATTTCTTTGTGGTCACACCTCATTTTTACTGCGTCCTGATTGATATTATCCAGCTTTATCACTCTGATTTTATCTGTCAGAAATACTCTTTCCAAAAATCAGAATTTTTACAAATGCCCCAAATTTGCTACCACTGCAGATATTCAAACATCTTCTCTGGGCTGTAAAGACAGTCTGTTCAGTTTGCTTCAGGTTGCAGTGGGAGGATGTGTTCACTGTGTTATTTGAAACTATGTAACTGGAGATGTTAAGGCTATAGAAAGTTAGCCAATATGGAAAAATTCACTGCTAAAAAAATTTTTTAAAAAGCTTTAATGAGGGGCGCCTGGGTGGCTCAGTCGTTAAGCGTCTGCCTTCAGCTCAGGTCATGATCCCAGGGTCCTGGGGTCGAGCCTCACATCGGGCTCCCTGCTCAGCCGGGAGCCTGCTTCCCCTTCTCCCACTCCCCCTGCTTGTGTTTCCTCTCTAGCTGTCTCTCTCTCTGTGTCAAATAAATAAATAAAAAATCTTAAAAAAAAAAAAGCTTTAATGATACATCGATAATCTTATGAGGCTGAAATGAAAGCAGAAATTATGTACTCTCCCCTGCTACCCAAATCTTCCCTCAAACCATGTCTCATACAGACGGGAGCATGGATCTTTCAAAAGTATGACAACTTCTACGTGGGGCATTATCATACTGTATGTGACCTTCAGATGGTCAGGAACTGACAAATCAATTCATTCGGGTATAAAACAGCCTGCCCAAAATGTTATACTTGCCCACAAGCTACTTTTTGTGCAATGGTAAGAAAATCCATCTCCTATGATATTGCCATCCTATTAATAGTTGTAGTATCGACTGAGATTGACAGAGTTCTTCTGGAACTCACTGTAGAAGGCACGTGCCTTTGAACCAAAATCATCTACTTCTCCTAAAGGTGACATTTACAGAATTTTTTCCTTTTCAAAGGTGATCACAAATACCATCTCCCTTTCAGCCCTGACCATCAAATTTCTTCTTCTACCTTACGAAGTGATCAGGAACTTATGTCAGAAGTCATTTTAAGCTTTAGTAACCACATTTATCTCAGCATGATTTAAAATGAGAATAAAAATAAGTTTTGCAGATGACATGAAAGCCAGATCTAAGGTTTTACTGAGGTTTCCACTTATTTTTTAATCTCCCTTATCCAACTTCAATTTATTTAGCAAGTCTACACTGAACTGAAAAAGAACAGCTCGGTAAGATTTAGCAAATGCTATGTGGACCAGGTCAACTTCTAACCAGGGCCAGCCCAAGGCTTTGTTACTTATAATCTCTCAATTTTAAATATTAGTTTTAATAAAAATTCAGAGGAGAGATCTTCCTCCGCTCCCCTTTACTTCTCTTCAACCCATGACTTAATGCTGCATGTACCGCACCTCATGATTTAGCAAAGCCATTACCCTATTTCAGAAGTGGATTAAGAGCAACACAATTTATCAGAACAATTAGCCAGCGACCCATGAACGTTTCAGACGGAGTAAGATTTTCTTTACGACCGAGTAGCAGTTCTTAACCCAGGTGAGTCTGCTCAAAAATATCTGAATGCATCTTTTCTACTAGCTTCTGGCATATTTTCGGCAAATCAAATTTTCTGCTGTGCTTTCTAGCTGAGAAGGGTATAAAAATCACATGCACACAGACACCGTAATTTCGAGGCTAGAGACGTAAATTCTGATCCAAACGAAGCCATTCACCAACTGGTAGAATCCAAACTACTGTATAAATCACTTACTCCCCCCACCCACCCCACCCGGGCTCACTTTGCCCATCCGTCAAATGGAGGTAACAGAAACAGGCACAACCACAGGGTGATGAGGCTCAAGAGACAGCAAGGAGCGTTCTGAAATGCGTCAAGGCGCTGCAGAATTGGAATGTAATTATCGGCACCGAAAGAACCCTCACCGCCTCGGCAAAACTTAAAAGGTTACCAGCAAAGAAAAAGAAAAAAAAAAAGGCGAGCACAGGCAACCCGAACCCGTCTGGGGACACTTTCGCGAACTCCAGGAGGGGCGGGGAGTCACGGGGGTGCCACCGGAGCCCGACGTGGGCCGCTTCCGCTGCAGTCCCCAGCGGGGAGAGGCCCCGAGAGCTGGGAACCCGAGCCGGCCGACAGCCCTGCCCGCCGAGGGCGCTCGGAGGGAGGCGGGGGAGGGCTGGGCGCGCCGCTGCCAC